GGGGTAGAATCCGGATACCTTACATATGAGCCATGATAGCATCTCAGGATGGGTGGGTGTGGCTAGGAAGTCCACAGAGAGCTTTTTAGGTTGCATGACCCCTGCAAGGACAAGTGTTAAGAGGCTCGTTATCTTGTGGTGTTTGTGCTGGGGGTACTTAGAGACTTGTCGGAGGACAGAGGTTATCTCCTTTCTCATCTGACTACAGTGATGGTCTGAGTGCTGTTGGGTGAAGGAGGACCTATGAATAGGTGGGGCCTTGGACAGCCTTGGGGTGGGCTGAGACAGGTTTCATCTGGAGTGCAAGGCTGTCCCTGCTTGGGGCCCAAGGGCTTGGTGAGAGATTCTTCCTTCTCTTTTACTTATAGGACACATGTACTCAATCTGTGGCTGCCCTGAGATGGAGAGACTGGTCTGGCCTGTCCCATGGAACCCTTAGGTTCTTGGCCTAAAAGGTGAGGGAATCCACTTTCCTGTTCTGGGAGTGGCACTGGCTTTGGAGGCCCTAAGAGAGCCTTTCTTTCTGTTAGTGTGCCTTCCTTAGTCTCTCTGAGGGCGTTTTCTGGTTCTTGTTCTAGCAGAGGGCCAGTTAGCCCTCTTGGAGGTCCTTAGAGGTCACAGGTTTCTCAGTGTTTAAGGACATTCTTGTGGAACTCACATCCGCGTTTCCAGGCTTATGCAGCTAATAAGCTACTGAGCCATCAATCAACAGTAGTCCCGGGGTCAGCCGTAACATAAGAGTCTCTACCCTTCTTTCCTTCTATCTTTTCTTTCTTATCTCTTCCTTTACTTACTTATTTATTTTTGGAGACAGGACTTTTCTATATATGGCTTATTTCCGTTAATTTAGTGTCTTTTGAGTTTATTTACGCAGTAAATAACTGTAGAACAGAGTCTGTATTTCTTCAGTAGCATAGAGGCTCATGGTATTCCTTTCACCCATCTACTGATGGGCCCTTGGGTTGACTACAGTTCTTGGCTACCACGAGGCACCACACAGTGAACAGGGGAGTACAGAATGTCTGCGACTTCCTGTCTCATGAGGTTAGACTCAGAAGCAGAATTTCTGGATTGAATGGTAGGTTTGATTTTACAGTTCAGAGACCCTTCCTTCTGCTGTGTGGTGGCTGTGTGGCTTGGCACTGCACGTGTCCCCACACTGAAGGAGCTCACCAGGCTCTTTCACCAGGCTCTCTCACCAGGCTCTCTCACCAGGCTCTCTTACCAGGCTCTCTTACCAGGCTCTCTCACCAGGCTCTCTTACCAAGCTCTCTCACCAGGCTCTCTTACCAGGCTTAGTCTGGTTTTAACCTGCATTTTTCTGATGCCTAGTGGTGTTGAGCTTTTAGATATTTCCTCATTTGAAATTGGATGTATGATTTGCAATTATTTCTGTAAATCCACATGCGGTCTCTACTCTGCTATACAGGGAACCGGGCCTGTTCGCAGTGCGCTGCCGGCTGACTAGCTACACCGGAACTCAGGCTTGAGAGGATCATAAACTTTGAACTTCTCCAAACAGAACTTCTAGTTAGCACTTTTTTTTTTTGAGGTGGCTGAATAAGGGTGAGTCTTAGGGCTAGCCCTGTCAGGAGCTGATACAGTGAGACAACATAGTTAGGGGGCGGTGAGGGCAGCACAGGGGAAGGATCAGTCCTGGAATCTAGGTGTGGCGGCCCCCTACTCCTCTAATGAAATTCTTATGCATCTCACAGAACTTCTGTTGTCTGTCTGGTCATATACCTGCAGAATCCATAATGAATTCACAGCGTGGCCCAGATATACAGAGCTCAGGTCCTTTGGGCCAGGTAGCTCCCTTGGGCTTGTCTTTTCTCTGCTTAGTGTTAGCTCATCATTAGCTCAAAAAAGGGGATGGGTAGGTTTATAGGGTTAGGTGGTGGCATGTTGGCACGTGGATGGGGTCGGGCTTGTAATAGGTACAGAAGTCATTTTAGTAACCCTTTCTACCTAGGATGTACATAGACAGCTCAGAGAAAGACTCATGGAGGGTTTCCTAGAGGAGGAGGTGTAAGGTTGGACAGTCAGTTGGGGTGAGGCACACTGGACTTCTTACCTGCTATGTCCCTTTTGGTAGCTTTGGTGGCTTCTGTGACATGATCCTTTGCTTGGAGAGGTATAGTGGCATTCTGGGAGGAGTGAGGATTCTGTGTCCGTGGAGCTAAAGAAGCAATGTACGAAAGGTGAAGGTGAGATATCAGAGCATACTGAGGCGCCCAGGGTAATGGAAAATAGTGAAGGGAGAGGGCCACAGGATGGAAAGGAACTGGCATAGAGGGCACCATGCTCAGCTATCTCCTTTGCTCACCCAGCTGCCTCCTTGCACTCTTAGTACAGAATTCTCAAGGCACAGATATAAATGTTGGATCGATGAGGCAGCTGAGAGGAGGAAAGGGAAGGGATGGATGAGGAAGAGTGAGGAAGGGAAGGGCCAAGGGAGGAGCTCTGAGCATAGGTAGGGGTTTGGTTCAGTCAGTCTTTGCTGTTAGGTGTGGGAGTGGGAAGCCCACGATTCCGTTCTGCATGGTCCAGGGACACTCACCAGAAAAACTGAAAGACTCTTCAACTTTGATTTCATCGTTGAGTTTTGCGGTGCAATTATAGGTGCTGTCTAGTTCTGGGGTCTCCACAGAGATCAGGTGGACCATCGTATATTTGCGTGGTGCATTTTGTACAGAGGAGATACGTTCATTATTATATTGTGCTTTTGTATGCCAGTTGACTTCCAACTTCTTTGTTGCGATTACCAAACAGATCAGGTACACAGGCCTCTGAGTCGCCGAGTCTTTGCACTGTGTGTGGATGGATAGTTTAGGTTCCTCGGGAGAATCTGCAAGACACATAATCAAGTTCTGAGGACATGGGACTTGGACAAAGGTGAGTTCTAGACAGTATCACTCTTCTCACCAAATTTGTAAAAATGACTCATAGTCCCAGGCAGGCTGGGGAGAAGGGTTTTGAAGCCTTATGGACAGTCTCAGGAGCTCCTGTCTCTCTGTCACCATCATCTTTTCTGAACAATCCTCAGGCTTTTGGGGAAGAGACCCACATCCTGCTCTTGTAAACACCAGTGACCCCTGTCCTTCATGGGTATTCTTCTGTGATTCTGACAGGGACAATCTGCCTTCTACGTCTTCATAGCCTGTCAAGCAGCCTGGAACACCTGAGCAGAGCCTTCCCAAGCTATGCTCAGGTTCTGGGATGTCAGGTATTTTCGGGGTCCCACTCTACAGTATTCTAGAGATGAGTGAAGGATAATGGGTGCAGACATGACCTCTCACTGATTTGCTTGCTGAAGTTGTAAGCACGGAATACCGACATCCACTGTGGGGATGACAGGGCTCATCATCCAACTCCAGACTCACTTGTGTGATTGTCACCTGAGCACCCTACCTCCCACACCAGCGTCAGTGTTAGTTTCCTTTGGCTGCTGGTGCAAAGTGCAACATGTGACAGCTTGAGCAACAGAACTCTGTTCTTTCCCAGGTCTAGTGGCCAGGAGTCTGGGCTACAGCAAGCTGGTGTCCTCTGCTGCAGAAAGAATCTGCCACAGACTTCCGGCTCTGAGGCCATGGCGAGTGGAATCTAGTTCATGCTTGGATTGGGGTGGGCAGCAGGACTGGGTTCTTGAAACATGGCAGTAGGTACAGACATGGGGGAAAGCCGTGAAAGTGAAACAGCGACTGGGCTGTTGTTGCCAGGAGACAAGGAGTAGTCAACCGCCATGGACTCAGAGCTGGAAGTCTGTGGCACAGAGGACACCAGCTTGCTGTAGCCCAGACTCCTGGCCACTAGGCCTGGGAAAGAACAGAGTTCTGTTGCTCAAGCTGTCACATGTTGCACTTTGCACCAGCAGCCAAAGGAAACGAACACTGACGCTGGTGTGGGAGGTAGGGTGCTAACACTGACGCTGGTGTGGGAGGTAGGGTGCTCAGGTGACAATGGGTAAGATAAATTTGGAATTTGGTGGTGGGCCCTGGCATCTCTACATTGGTTTTCCAATAGGTTCTTGCTGCTGTCTGTACTCTGCAGCTACCCACTAGAATCCTAACTAAGGGTTCATCACTGAGCTGGTACCTCAGATGCTTAATACTTAAGTATTAAACAGTTGATATTTAACCTGAACTATGCTCTTTAGGACCTTGGCGTCTACACAGTTCCATCCCACAACCTGCTGTTCCTGCTCACGTCCTGCTGCCTGGTCTGCCTCTTGCCATAGGCAGCTAGCCAGCACTTCCTGTGTCTGTGGGCTTCTCTAGCTGCCCACACCATGAGCAAGGGGGCAGCCTGCACTGCCTGAGCTGAAGCCCATGACCATGTCCCTCTCCTTTCCATTCTTGCTCTGAGAGCAGACCTGTATCTGTCTTTCTCTAGTGACTACAGAGCCTTTATCCTATTTCTTTATATTTGTCCAGCAGTTGCGGTAAACAGAGAGTTTGAGTCTCCAAGTTATTGACTAACCCCTAGGGCCTGGCATGTTGCAGGAGGGGTAAAATGTCTTAGAGATCTCAGCTAACTTCCCCAAGGCACACTTCACATACCACAAAGGTTTAGGATAAGACCCAAAGTACTATGCTGTTTGGAAGCAACACCAGCTCAAGATGGCAGGTTGTGGTACAGAGCAGAAACCCAGGGCTGAAAACTAGTTTCCAGATTCTGAAGGCTTTTGGGAGATCAGGCCTGGAATTTTCTTTTCCCTGCTTCCTTTCTTCCATCAGGGTGGATAAGCCAAGGTTCTACCATTGACTGCTGTGTTGTGCTTTGCTGTCAGAGCTCTCTCTCTCTCTCTCTCTCTCTCTCTCTCTCTCTCTCCCTTTCTCTCTCTCCCTTTTGCCTTCTCCCCCTTTCTCCCTTTTTCTGAAGCCCCATCAGACTGCTCCATTACCAGTTCCCAAATTCTCTTCAGAGGGTTTGGCATATTTCCTTGGCATGTCAACAGTGCAGAAGAGGTTTGAAATAAAATCAAATTCCTTCACCATAAAGTGGGTTCACACAATGAAGTTTATTTACAAGTGCCATTCGTGTGCAGCACAGTCATCTGTAGGCCAGACGCTGCTTCAGGTGGCACAAACTGACAAAGCCTTTGACCAGTCTAGGAAGAAGCCCATCCCAGAGCTCAAAGCTGGAGGGCAACACAGGGAAGACGGAGGAATAGGTTTACTAGTCATGCAGGCAGCTCATCCCACCCAGAGGCAGTGTTCCTGGGGGAGGGTTTCTTGCTCTCTGATGTCCTTCCTTGCTGTGATTCACTTCACCTGCAGGCGACAGAGACAATGTGAACTGCTGTCTCCTTTTAGGGAGTAGAGGTAGGGACAGTGAGAACTGGCATTCCCCGGCTGTGTCCTCAGCCCCACAACCACAGTACCTTGAACAGGGTGACAGTGGTGCTGTAGAAGAGGCTCAGGAGGAAGAGTACGATGAAGGTGGAGGCCGTGGTCCACAGGTTCTCAAAGCCTTCCTCCTCGGCATTCACCTCCCCCTCTGTGAAGGGACATACACAGGGAGGCTCAAGCCAAGCCTTGGGGTGGCTGAGCATCTGCCTGAGGGTGGGGAGTGTCCTGCTGTTTTCAGAGAGTCTCAGCCAGTATTGACTGGTCCTCCTGACAACTCAAGCTAGACAGAGGCACAACACAGGTCAGGCTGGAGGAGGCACCAACTTGGGGCCTTGCCCTAGGACCCCTGGGGATGCAGAGCAAGCAAGACAGGTGCAACACATGGATGCGGGATGAAGGCAGAATCAGGAACCCTGGCATGATGGTGTGGGTGTGTTCTGGACTTTCTCTGAGCAGGTGGCATCATCAGGGCCATTTAGACTGTGATTTAGAGTAGGGTTCCCTGTCTTTTGGGCTTTGGTAAGCCCAAAAGAGCAGAAGGTACCTGAGGCACCTACTAACTTCCTGAAGGACATTGGCATCTCATGCCTCTCTTTGAGCAGAGTTTCTGTGTGTGGCTTGTCTTATTCCTACCAGAAATGTTGAGTCTTGGTATCAAGAAATAGACAGACATCCAAGAAAGGCAGTGAGACCAGGGCATTTATGATGATGATGATCCCTTAGGGTTATCTAAAGCCCAGGCCCCAAATTGATTAGACTATGAAGAATGTCCAGTATGTGGGCCCACAGAGGCAAAGGTGAGTCCTTACAGGGGCTCCTTGCTGGGGTGGCGGACTCAGCTTTTTTTGAACAATTGCATTATGTCTTCTGCATTCTGGCCCGGGGACAAGGGTGAGTATGATGGCATCTCACATTGATATCCTGAGGTATTTTGTTAATGGGGACATAGCCAGGGCAGCTTTCTGTCAATGGGTGATTAGTTGGGGTATTGGGAGAGAAAGGCACAATTTGTTCCTGGGGCTCTCTCTCCTAAGTATAGGCTGGGCTCCCTGAGAAGCATGAGTCTAAGATGCTGAGAAGACCCAGCCTAAGGTGGACTCTCTGGGCCCTGAGCCCTGGAGATTATGGCCCTGGTGACAGTCCAGGTGTATCTGTGTGTCATGCCTGTCCACATGTTAGCATGTACATGTCAAGGTGTTTCTGTACATGTGAGTGTATGAATGTTTTTGTGCTTATGTGGCTATGTTGTCTACATTTGCCTATATTCTGTTTATGTGTAGACACGCCATGTGTGTTGGTATCTGTTTCTGGTTGTGGCTGTGTGTCCATGTATGAATTTGTTTTTCTCTGAAGGTGTCCATGTATGAATGTATGAATGAGCTCATGTGCATGCATGTGTTCCTGAGTGTGAGGGTGGTTCTGTGTGTATCTTTGTCTGTGTGTCCAAAATTACACATCTCTACATATGCTCCTGTATCTGTGTCTGCCTGTCTGTGTGTGTCTGTGCATGTGCCTGAACGGTGCCTGCAGCAGGGTAGCCAACCTTCCAGCCATATATCCAGAAATAGCTGGAGAAATGGCGTGCTTTACACTTTGTCTGTGGTAAGCTTTCTCGGGCTCCCACAGAAGGAGGCCCCTGGCAGAGGAAGGGCGGAGGTGCAGGCAGGGTGTGCACAGGGCAAGCACAACACAGCTGTTGCCCCAGCAGGCAAAAGCATTGCAGAATCAAAACCAGCGACTTTTGAACGGATTTTTTTTTTATTTCTAATTTTCATAAAATGCAGCATCTCCCTCTGACATTGTTAGTTTGCATTCACAGAGCAACTGGACCCCCAGAGCCTGCCTGGTTGAGGATTAGCATGGTCAGTAGCAGGTGCCGCCTGTGTCAGACATGATCAGGGATACATTGTACAGTGTAGGTTTACCAGTGGATTTGTCCACGGTCCTCTCGGTAACCGTGTGTGGCAAGGCCTCGTGGACTACAACACAGGTGTAGGTCTCTCCAGAATTCCATTCCTCCTCTGCCACAGTCAGCGTGCTGTAGGCGAAGTAGAGGCCTTGGGCCTGGGGCTCTGGCATCGGGGCACTGGTCACATACTTGTCTGAGGGCAAGGGTTGCCCCCTCTGAAGCCACTGAACAAGGATGTCTGCAGGAGAGAAGCCCTTCACCAGGCAGGTGACTGTGGCTGACTCCCTCAGGATCAGTTGCTCACGGGCTGGCGGCAGCATATACACAGCAGGTGGACGATTCATTTCTGTGAGCAGAGATAGTGGTGAGGACAGGGGTTGAAGGGGACCTGTCCTCCTCGGCAAGGGAGAAGAAGGGAAGGGGGTATACCTACCATTGGGTTTTGAAATGGTTTTCTTCTGTGGTGAAGGCAGGTCCCTGTGGGTCACAGTGCACATGAACTCCTTTCTGTTATTCCAGTCTTCCGCACAAACATAAGCCACACCCTCAGCACTGAAGGTGCCATTGGTGTGGCTTTCAATGGGTTTCATGTTGGTTTCTAGTGCCTCACCACTTTGGGAAGACCAGGAGATATTCAGGGTGTCATATGTTGCCAGGTTTGTGACCAGGCAAGTCAGCTTGGCAGACTTGTTGATGAAGGTGTGAGCAAAGGAGGGGGGAATGGCGAAGGCTAGGATGTCTGTGGATGGACCTGCAGTCAAGAGAACACCGTGTCAGCTATGACAGGTCTAGTTGTGAGGTCAGAGAAAAGTTTAGTCTCCAACCCCCAAATTTTTGGAGCCTATGACATTCTGCTTAAGGGAAGATGCTGGTCCTCCAGCTGGCTCTCACTCCCTGCTGCTAACCCCTCATCCCTGCCCTTGGCCACTCCAGGAAGCCAAGGCTCAAGGAGCAAATGGCCACATCAGGGTGGCATTGGTCATACTTGTAGGAGGGCTGCCCTAATCTGGGGGGGCTAGGCGTTGGGCTTGGCACAGGCCACTCACTGGCGGCGCACGAGGAGGACACATTCTTCCAGAAGATGAGACCCCTGTGGTCCACACGGCAGGTGTACACGCTTAGGTTCAGCCAGTCACTTTCGGTGATGGTCAGTGAGCTTACAACCTTGTAGGTCCGCAGTTTGGATCCTTTGTCCTCGGCGGTCACCGGCTCTGTGGTGAAGCCAGACTTCACAGGCTTCCCGTCCTGTAGCCAGGACACTGTGATTTCTTTGGGACTGAAGTTGGTGGCCTCGCAGTAGAGTCTGGACCTGCGTGGTGCAGGGCCTGAGAAGGCGTCACGTGGTGGAACGAACACACTCACATTGGGGCTCATCTCTGTGCCAGCTGGAGTGGAAGGACAAAAGTGAGCCCAGCTCGGCCCCAGCCCCAGCCCATTGCTCCCTCTAGGCCATGCCCGGGCCTCTGCCCCCACTGGGAGGGTTGGTTCTTACCTGGAATGGGCACATGCAGATCTTTGTTATTGTTGCCGTGGCGGACCTTGCATACCAGGTATTCATCTGAACCTTCAAGGACATTCTTCCGAGACAGGAGCACCTGCGAGGTGGCTGTGTACTTGTTCCCTGTCCTCAGTGTTGGGAAGGTTCTGACACCCTGGCTGATATCAGAGTTGTTCTGGTACTTCCAGGAGAAGGAAATGGAGTCGGGCAAGAAGTCCCGGGCCAGGCAGCCCATGGCCACCAAATTCTCATCAGACAGGGGGCTCTCGCAGGAGACGAGGGGGAAGACAGATGGGGAGGACGAACTCTCTGAGGATCAGAGAGGGATAAAAGAGAAATGGAGGAGTAAGAATCTGTCTTCCGACCTCCTGCCAGTCAGGCTGTTTCTTTATACTCTCCTGCCTCTGAGGCTGTTGGTCTTAAGACAGGTGGCTAGATATGGTAGTAGGCGAGCCTGGCCTTCAGGACAGAGCTGCTGCAGAGCCACCTTCTAGCCACAGTAACATGGCTTTGGAAGCTTCACATACAGGGACAGATGCCTGCTAGAGTAGTTGGATATGGCCTTTCAGCCATCACCCAGCCAGCTCCAGGGGCACTGACACTTGCTCTCAGGAACATGCCTAGATCCTGGCTTCTCATGTAGGCTTGGGCCTGACCTGCTCTGCTTCCTCTGAGACACTGGCTGAGGGAAACATTCTCATTCCAAAGCAAAAGGAGTGTGTCGGGAGGTGGTGGTGGTAAGGGAGGGGCCCAGGCTTCAAATCATTTATATCAGCACACACAGCTTGAGTCTACACACCAGACAGGGCATGTAGGGTAAGAGAAAAGTGGGTTGTGATGGGGGAACTCTTAGTGAATCATCTTGAAACTCTACCTTAGCACATGGTCTGCCCAGAACAAGGTCCTAACCTAGCTGGTTCAGGCCTGGTGAAATTCATTCAGTTCAGCCTATCTCTGCTCTGCTCAGTCCATCTCAGATCTGCCCATCTCAGCCTAGTTAAATTGTTTCACATACAGCTCATCCCAGTTTTAGCCAAGCTCACCCCATGCTAAACTAATCTGAGCCCAGCTCAGCTCAGGCTAGTTCACACCACCACAGTTTAGTCTAGTCTAGTTAAACTGATCTAGGCCTCAGTAAATCTAGTTCATTCCAGCCCAGATTAGCTCAGCCCAGGCCAGCTCAGCTAGCCTAGCTCAGCCCAGGCTAGCTCATCTCATCCAAGTTCAAGTGCTCTAGGTCAGCATAGTTCAGCCGATCTCATCTAAACCCCACTAATCTCTTTTTATCCCAGCTCTGTTAACCTAACTCATCCCAACTCAGGTAGGTCAGTCTAAGCTCAGTCAGCTCACCCCAGCATACCCCAGCTGTATTCACTGCAGCTCAACTCATGTTATCCCAGTTCATGGTAGCTCATCCTAGCCCAGCTCAGCCCAGCTCATCTGAGTCCAGTTCATATCAGTTTAGTCCTGTTCAGCTCAGCTGAACGTAGTTCAGCCTAGCATATCCCAACACAACTAGACCAATTAAGCTGAGCTCATCCCAGCCAACCTCATTCTATGCCATTCCACCTCATCTGTGCTCATCCTAGCTCATCCAGCTTACAACACACCAGCTCACGGCAGTCCAGCTCCCCTGCACCAGCGTATCCATCCCAGATCAACCAAATTCAGTCTATCTCATCATAGCCCATGCATCCTAAGCTCAGCCTTGCTCACTCAGCATAGTTCATCCCAGCTCACCCCAGCTTAATCCAGATCAGCCCAGCTCAGCTCAGCTCACCTCAACTTACCCCACCTCAGCCCAGCTCACCCCAGCTCAGCTCACCCCAGCTCAGCTCAGCTCACCCCAGCTCAGCTCAGCTCACCTCAACCCAGCTCACCTCACCCCAGCTCAGCTCAGTTCAACCCAGCTCAGCTCAGCTCACCCCATCTTACCCCACCTCAGCCCAGCTCACCTCAGCTCAGCTCACCCCAGCT